GACTATAGAGTGGTCGAGTTTTGCTAACGTAGCGTCGCTGTGCCCAGCGTGCGCGCGCGTCAACGCTACGTTTGAGTATATTGGGCCTTCTTAATGCAGTCAAAGCCGTTTCGCTAACTCCACAGATGCAAAATTTGTTGTTACGTTACGTCAATGGATGACAAAGGTATATAGCGGGTGCAAACATCACAATATAGAGACGCGTGTCATGTAAGAACGTGAGAACATACCACACTTATAGCGTTCTCGCGGCCGTTTTGCTAGCTCCACATATACTAAATTTGGCATCACGTGACGTGAATAGATGACGAAGGTAATCGACACATCCAAACATAATAATCATGACACGGAAGTCATGTAAGGCATCGTTTACCTCCACCTCTTGAAGTTGTGGTGATTCGACAGTGGCATGTCAACCTTCCTCATTCGTGCTTCGCATATTGTCAATTCCCACTGTACATGGGATCTGCCAATTTTTTTTGTTAGAAGGGGAGGTGGAGACAGGAGATAAGTTTTCACGACCAAACCGGTAAAATGTAAAAATGTGCACCTTCATGTGCCTTATCTCTCTAATAAAATGCTTCTTTTTATCTAACGAACTACAAAGGTAAATGAGACGTCCAAACAAGATAATCATGACAAGCTTGTCTTGTAACAACATGGTGCTATGTTACGCGCATAATGCGCTCGTGGTCGTTTCGCTAGCTTCACATGTACTAAATTTGGTGTCACGTGGCGTGAATGAATGACGAAGGTATGTGACTGGTGGAAACATGACAATGAGGGCATGGGTGCGATGTAAAAACATGACAATATATCACGCCCATGATGCACTCGCAGTGGTTTCACTAGCTTCACTTATAACAAATTGGGTATGGCGTGACGCGAAGGGATGACAAAGGTAAATGACACGTCCAAACACGATATTAAGGACATACGTGTCATGTGACACATGACTCCTTGGTACGTTCATAGCGCGCTTGCTGGCCATTTCGTTAGCTCCAGATATACCAAATTTGGTATCACGTGCCGTGAATAGACGACAAAGAAAAATGACACGCCCAAACATGATAATCATGACGAGGAAGTCATGTACGGCGTATTTTACGTCCGACTTGTAACGTTGTGCCGATTTTAGAGTGATCTATTAATCTTGTTCATTCATGCTTCGCATGTCATCGATTCCCACTGTACGTGGGATCTGCTAGTTTTTATTGTTAAGTTATCTTTTTTAAATAGTAGTAAACTTTTTATTTTGTGATTGAGGCTGTTCGTTTTGAAGGAATACATGCTCATGCAGTAACTATACTTTGAATAATGTTCATCTTGACAACTAACCTGAAATCTGAACTTAGCAACGTTGAACGCTAGAACCTTATCAAGAGAGGCAAGCCTAGATGTACTATTCTAGGAACTAAAGGGAGTTAAATGGGATATAATAGGACTTAAGGAGGTTAGGAGGACAGATGAGGGCTATATATGGTGCCACAAAATGGACACGCCCTTTGCTATAGGGGATTGGCTGACAGAACAGAACTGGGACGGGCGTACCTTATTCACAGAAAGATAGCTGGCAACATAGAGGAATACTATAGCTATAATGAAAGGGTGGGAGGTATCGTAAGTGAAATCAATAGGAGATACAAGATGATGGTGGCACAGGTTTACACGCCTACATCCAGCCATGATGATACTTCAGCTGAAAGCTTCTATGAATACGTGGAATGGGAAATGAGTAAAGTGAAAACACAGTTTAACATACTGATGGGAGTCTTTAATGCAAAGGAAGGGAAGAAGGAGACTGGAGACCAGGCAGTGGGAGATTATGGCATCGGTACTAGAAATACTACAGGAGAGTTACTAGTAGAGTTCGCAGAACGCAATTTTTACGGATTTTGAATACTTTCTACCGAAAACAAGAAAACCCTAAGTGAACATGGAGACCTAATGGCGAAAATAAGAACAAAATACAATATATAATGAGTGCACACCCAGGCATCGTGCAGGACGTGGAAGTGCTTGCAGTGACCATAGAATGGTACGGTTTCGAATTCGCCTAGACTTGAGGAAGGAACGACAGAAACTGATAAGCAAGAAGGCAATCAATGAGCTAGCACTGAGAGGGAAAGTAGAGGAATTTATAGTCTCACTTCCGAACAGGTACTCGGCACTTATCGAGGAAACCAGCCTTAGCGTAGACGCAATGAATGATAATCTGACGAGTATCATTACGGAGTTTGCAGTGGAAGTTGGAGGTATGGTACTTAGACAGGACACTGGAAAGCTGTCCAAGCAGACAAAGAACCTCAATAATAAGCGTCAAATCATGAAAGTCTCTAGTACAACAGACAAAATAGAACTGGCAGAGCTGTCGAAGTTGAATAATAAGCTTAAGATATCCGATGTAAGAAGGTATAACATGAAGAGAGTAGAACACACTCTGAAAAAACGGAGAAAGCGTCAAAGCAGTGAAGAAGAAACTTGAAATAGGCAGAAATCGATGTATGCACTAAGGGACAATGAAGGCAAGATAACTACCAATATGAATAGGATAGTTAAAATAGCGGATGAGTTTTACAGAGACCTGTGCAGTAGCAGGGACAACCCCAACCTTAATACTATAAGAACTAGCAGTAACCCAGATGACACCGACCAGTAATGATGGAAGTCAGAAAAGTCTTGGAGAGCATGCAAAGAGGTAAAGCTGCTGGTGAGGATCAGCTAACATCAGATCTGCTGAAAGATGCAGGACAGATATTGTTAGAAAAAACTAGCCACCCATTTTTCGAGGTGCCTCCTGACGGAAAGAGTACCAGAGTCTTGGAAGAATGCTAACATCATCTCAATACATAAAAAAAAGGAGATGACAAAGACTTTAAGAGTTACAGGCCGATCAGCTTGCTCTCCGTAGTATACAAGCTATTTACAAAAGCAATTGCTAACAGTGTTGAGAAAACATTAGAATTCCACCAACCAAAGGAACAAGCAGGATTTCGAACAGGCTACTCACCAATTGCCACATTCATACTATAAACCAGGTAATAGAGAAATGCTCAGAATATAGCCAACCACTATACATAGCTTTCTTAGATTACGAGGAAGAGTTTGATTCAGTAGAAATATCAGTAGTCATGCAGACACTGCGGGATCAGGGCGCCGATGAATTATATATAAACATACTGGAGGAAATCTACAGGGGATAAACTTCTACCATATTGCTTCATAAATAAAGCAACAGAATACCAATTAAGAAGGGTGTTAGGCAGAGCGACGCAATCTCCCCAATGCTATTTACCGCGTGCTTGCAGGAGGTTTTAAGAGGCTTAGAATAGGAACAGTTGGGAAAAAGATTAAATGGAGAGCACCTTAGTAACCCGTGGTTCACCGATGACTATAGCTGCATCGCTATAACTGCATCGCTGAGTAACTCGGAGGACGAATGACAACTCATGATTACGGAGTTAGACAAGGAGAGCAGAAAGGTGGGTCTTAAAATTAATTAGCAGAAAACGAAAGTTATGTACAACAACCTCGGAAGAGAGCAGTGCTTTCACATAGGTAATAGTGCACTTCAAGTTGTATATGAGTAAGTCTACTCACGGCAGGTAATAACCGTGGAGCCAAACCACGAGATTGAAGTAACTAGAAGAAGAAGAATGGCGTGAAGCACATTTGGCAAGCACTCTCAAATAATGACGGCTAGATTGCCACCATTCCTAAAGAGGAAGGTCTAGCTGTTATAACAGCTGCATCTTGCCGGTACTCAGCTATCCAGCAGAAACCTGGAGGCTAACAAAGAAAGTTCAGCTTAAATTGAGGACGACGCAGCGAGCAATGGAAAAGAAAAATGGTATGTGTAACCTCAAGAGACAAGATAGCAGAGTGAACAAACGGGGGTTACGGGTATTATAGTTGAAATCAAGGAGGAAACGGACATGAGCCGGGCGTCTAGCGCGTAGACAGGATAACCGCTGGCCATTAAGGATAACTAACCGGATTCCCAGAGAAGGCAAGAGGGTTAGGGGGAGAGAGAAGGTTAGGTGGGCAGATGAGATTAAGAAGTTCGCGGGTATAAATTGACAGCAGCAAGCACAGGACTGAGTTGACTGACGGAACATGGGAGAGGCCTTTGTCCTGCAGTGGACGTAGTCAGGCTGATAATGACGATGACGACAAGTAGCAAATCGCCCCGCCGCGGTGGTCTAGTGGCTAAGGTACTCGGTTGCTGACCCGCAGGGCGTGGGTTTGAATCCCGGCTGCGGCGTATGCATTTCCGATGGAGGCGGAAATGTTGTAGGCCCGTGTGCTCAGATTTGGGTGCACGTTAAAGAACCCCAGGTGGTCTAAATTTCCGGAGCCCTCCACTACGGCGTCTCTCATAATCATATAGTGGTTTTGGGACGTTAAACCCCACATATCAATCAAATCGACAAGTAGCAAACCAAAGCGGGAAGTACAAATAAAAAAAGCAAAAGCAGTGCCAACCTTCCCAAGATTATTTTGCAAAGAAAAATGAAGGTACGCTTTTTTTAAGACAGGCCGTTGACACACAAAGTGTAGGGCTCTAGTTTGCTTGCAAAATGATGATGGGCATCAACTAAAATGCGGGTGTAATATCAGCAATATTGTCAGATAAAATTGGGAAATGACAAGGAGAGACATGGCTGATGTTGTCTTTGAGAGTACAAAAATTCGTTAATTTTAGTGAAAAAATTGCTTTCCTGAATTGTTTCAGCGAAAATAGGGCTATCAAATTAGAAATATATGGGAAGCATTTGTCCGTTTTGAATTTCGTTCGCGTCACGGAGGTGTGTTTTTATGGCGTATCGGCTGTCGGACACCGGAGTACATGGGATCGACTTCCTGATAATGAACGCTGGTCCTGTATATTTGTGTGTGCATGGTCGGTTTACGAGACTAGCTATTTTCGTGTACTCGCTGGCTACAGGATTGAACGAGTACCCATGACTTTAGCGTCTACAAATATCCTGGATCTCGGATGAATTCCATTTCTCGTGTGTATTTATTTTTTTGCTAAATTCTAAGCCCTTGCGTCATCCACGAATCCGATGAATGGTGTTTCGGGGGTGGTGACCAGTTGTTCTCGGTGACCAGTTGCTCTCGGTGGCCACGCTTTCTTCCTTTGTCGTGCATCGTTTTGCTGCATTCTGGTTTTCATTCATTGTCACGTGCCTGTGGACATTACAGGAAAGTGTCAAATAGCACATAGTATTTACACAATAAAGCAATACTCAATATCTCATATGAATAACAGATGAATAATCATGATCAGGAAAAGAAGAAACAAACAGCGGTAGCTATGCCGAAAAATCGAGAAAAAATGTTGGCAACAGAAGTTAGCAATAAATACTGCAGAGAAAGCTGTCTAACCCATCTTTAAAGTTGATTGACGTCGTTTATTGCACAGCCAAATCAGGTAAGCTATTCCACATTTCTATTGCGTCTGGAGAAAAGGAGTGGCGGAAAAAAATTGGTGCGTGGGAAATGGGGTTCGATAGCTCGGCTAATATTAAGACAATAACATGGCCTTCCAGGTGACTGAAAAATAAATCCTTTTTTTATTTTTGTTTGCCTACTTATAATCCTTGAAAAAAAAAAAACGGAGGCGTTCTTTGCGTCTAGGATATTTTAAACACTCAAGCTCACAGGACTCTAACAAAGCCGTGACGGAGTGTGTGCGTCGCCATTTACCCCATACGAAACGGACTGGTAATTTTTGTATTCTCTCAATTTTAGTCCTCAAAACCTTTTGGTGAGGTTACCAGACAATACTAGCATACTCTAAACTGATTTTAGAAACGTTTTTTAAGTAGTTAGTTTCACATCCGGTGTGGCGTGTTCCAGCTTTTTCTTGAGGAAATAAAGTTTTTTATTCGCCTCAGAACACATGTCTATATGAGAGTACCACTGTAATGTGTAAGCGGTTGAAGAAGAGAAAAGAAAATTTCTTCAAGCTTGGAACGCTTGTCGTGACGCTTGCACGTGCATCACCTTTTGTGCCTCCGAACGTGTGCATGGACCTTTCAGTTGAGTAAACTGGTCGGCCTTCCCTTATTTCTGTGAAAATGCCGTTGGGTTAAGTGGCGTAATATCTGTGCCTTTTATTGATTATTTATTTTTTTACGTTGTAGTGAACTTTTCCTTATTTTGTACTTGAAGCTGTTCGTCTTAAAGCTATGCTCATAAAATAACTACTAATAGCTGTGAAAAAGCTCCGAATAGCCGGGATGAAAAACCCGCGAAAAATGCTCCGGTGCTTCCACGATGATATGATATGTGGGGCCTAATGTCCCAAAACAACCATATGATTATGAGAGACGCCTTAGTAAAGGGCTCCCGAAATTTCGACTACCTGCGATTCTTTAACGTGCACCCAAATCTGAGCACACGGGCCTACATCATTTTCGCCTCCACTGAAAATGTTGCCGCCGCAGCCGGGGTTCGATCCCACGGCCTGCAGGTGAACGGCCGAGTACCTTAGCCACTAGACTACCGCGGTGGGCCATCGGAGGTTCCACGAAAGCCCGCTGAAAAATGCTCTGGCGCCGCCACGCATTCACGCTGGCTGGCCGGAGTGAAACATCAGTGAGAAATGCTCCGGATGTACCACGCAATTGCTCCGGTCAGCCGGAGTAAGCCCATTTCTCCGGAGGTCCAGTGCAAAAATTACTCTGAAGAGGGTAGGGTGGTCGCCATAGAGGATAGCCGTATTGCTCCGACATCGAAGTAATTTTTTACAGTGCATTCAAACACTCGTTTGATGCGAACAAAGTGAATTTTAATAACTACGCCAAAATCACATGGAAGCGGGCACCCGAGAGCACCGCCATGTTATACGTACACTACGTACACCTACGCTATCAGGGTAATGTTAAACCTGAAAAAAATAGTGCGCGTATGTTGAGTGGTGCGGGTAACGTACATATCTGCGCATGCGCACTTCGATCCCGCTATTACGGTAAGTCTGTGATCCCACTAAGCCCCGTATACGATAACTGTCTGTCTTTGTCAGAACTTGTGTCCGTCTGTTGCAGCGACCGATGTGATGAGTCGGATGCATGTTGTTGGGCAAAGGAAGAACGATGATGCGCTCACGAATATGTCTTGGTATTACGACTTTTCGCCAGGCTGCGTGTTGTAGCTGATGCACAGCTTTTAAAGAGCTGTGCAAACAACTTCTGGTTTTAGCCCAACGTCCATATTGGGTGATGTTGTGTGCTTCGATTAGTTTGTCTAGGATATTATGCAACCCCAGCTCGAGATATTTTTCTATGCCAGTATTTATTGGTAAGCCTATTGCACGTTTATACGCCTTGCGAATTAGATGGTCTACCTTAGTTCGTTCGGTCGCCTGCCACTTGAAGTAGGATACGACGTACGTTATGTGGCTTATAATGAAAGCATGTATAGCAGATGAATGGTATTCCTTTCCTTCAATCTGCTATGGCGATTTGTTGTGTGTTTCAGCGAACGGAGCGTTGCATCGACAGCCCCTTCTACTCTGCATATGGTTTCGCCCCTTTCTCCATAGGCCGAGAGCAAGCCCAATACTCTAATGTTAACTGGTGGAGTGACAGTGCTATCAGATGTTACTATTGTAATATATCTCTCTGCGTTCTCGTTGTAGAAATTAGTGTTCTTGGATTTATGGCCGCGTCACGTGGGTCTGCAAAGAAGGAGCTCTGATTTAGCCGCGGAACATTTGAGGCCCATGTCTCAGTGGTCGGAGGTAGTCCTGTACCACATTAGCAGCCTCCTGCAACGTATGCTCGACCTCCCTGTCATTCCCCTCGGCAACCCAGAGGGTAATATTGCTACGTAGTTATCGCATGAAGGGTGAACCATTCTGTGATCAGAAGACGATGAAGAGGACTGGTTTGCTCGCTCTGTGTGCTGCGCTCCGATTTTTTCGGTGTAAATACACTGCCAAATGGTCAAGTCCTGTCTTATTTTACGTAACATATTTGTGGTGGACTGGCTAGTCCTTCCCTGTACCCATCACGAAGCTCCGTAGCGACCGCATCAACACGAGTCCTACCATGTCACAGGTTCAAATTACATCATATTCACCACCCGCCTCTTCTGTGACTCCTTCCTACGTTGTCCTACTTCCTGCTCGTGATCCTGGCGTAGTTTCCGGACAGGATGGCCTTAACGTTGACAAGTGGCTCAACGTGTATGAACGGATCAGCGCCAGCTATAGGTGGGACCTAACACTCATGCTTGCCAACGTGCTTTTTTACCTTAATGGCCCCCCGCGGGTGTGGTTCAAAACGCACGAAACAGACATTACCAACTGGGACGCTTTCAAGGAGGAGATCCGTGACCTTTTTGGAAACACCGCTGCATGACAGATAACTGCGCGAAATCAGTTGGCTACTTGGGCACAGACGTCTACCTAATCCTACGTCGCGTATATTCACTACGTCATCGCCCTTTGCCGCCAGGTTGACGAGCACATGCCTCAGCCTGAGAAGGTATCGAGTGTGCTTAAAGGCATTGCCGACGATGCCTTCAACCTACTTGTATACAATAACGTAATGACCATTGACGAAATCATCAGAGTGCATGCCGGCAGTTTGAACACGCCAAGAGCCGCCGTATCACGCAGAAGTTCACACGACTATGCAACACGGCCGCAACTTCATCGTGTGAAGCCGCTCGCCAACCTCCCACCTATGACCACGTCACCTCAATTGTTCGTTAGGAGCTTGAAGCTGCTTGTTCAGATCCCATTCTACAGCCTTTTTGTACAACTCAAGCAACTGACCCATCAAACCCATTGGTAACCTTAATTCAAGCTGTGGTAAGGCACTAGTTCACTAATCTCGATCCTCCGTCAGCTTGTCCCGTTACTCACCCTTAAGTACGCCCATACCCCTCAGGTAACGCTCGCCGATCTGCTCCATCATTGCTCTTCTGGAACCCTACGCAATGGCGAACCCCTGACGACCAGCCAATCTGCTTTTACTGTCATCAACCTGGACATATCTCTCGTTATTGCCGTCGCCGTTGGTCCAACCCACCACGTCAGAGGTACCCTACTTATATGCGCCCTACCACTTTGTACGTCCAGCCGCTACACCATCCATCTTTTACTCGTCGCCTCCTCACGAGCCTCTCCCCACTGACGCCCCTTCTTACGGTCGCCGCTACTCCCGTTCCCCGTCGCCGCTACGCCGCCAATCCCGCTCTCCGCCGCCTCGGCGCTTTTCCTCGCCGAGCTTCTCTGGACGATCGCAGCAGGAAAACTTGATATTGCAGCTTATGGAGGTGAAGCTGCAACACCAACGACGCCCGGAAACCCTCTACTGACGCTGTCCACACACCACAGTCTCATTGAAGTAAAAGTCGACAATGTTCTTGTCACTGCCTTTATTGACACAGGCGCCCACCTATATATTAAGAGCGCACATCCACACCGCCATTTGCAGAAGATCATGACACCCTCTACGACTCAAGCTATACGTGTTGCCAATGGCGGCGCTGTAGAAGTCATCGGAACGTGCACTGCTCGTGTCAACATTGCTGGTCGTATGTTGTAGTCAATTTTGGCGTTCTAGATCGTTGTCCTCATGACCTCATACTAGGCCTTGATTTCCTCTCGGCACACTCGGCTTTAATTGACTGTTCTTTTGGCCCAGCCAGCCTCGACCTTCTCCTGCTCTCTGATGCCTGTGAAAAGCCCGTCAGTCGCTTGGGTCCAACCACTTTTGTTCGCTTGCTGCCTCAAGCTGTGACATACGTGTGTCTGTCATCGACCCCTCCAGTTCCCAACGGAGACTACATTGTTACACTGATAACAGACGCACGACTGACCTGCAGTGTTACAGTGCCGCATACCATGGCAACCATAGTGGACAACAGTGTGTTTCTTCCGCTCCTAAGTTTTGGCCTCATTCCTCAAGTATTGCACTACCAGATGTCGATTGCTCAACTCGCTGCCATAAGAGATGATGACATAAACGTTGTCGCCGTAACTGTTCCGGACCAAGCCGAAGTCTCACGGTTACCCTGTTCTGCCGAGGCCATCTATCGAAGTATGATTGGACCGGACCTTTCGCCTAATCAGGCCGACGCTCTCTGCCGCGTTTCGACTACCTACGGTGACATTTTTGATATCTGTGATCGTCCCTTGGGCCACACTATTATTGTCAAGCACCGAATCAACA